CCTCCCTGAGATCTTTCCCCCCCCTTTCCCAGTTGAGATCCTTTCCCCCCTTTCCCTCCTTCATTTCCAGATGTTCTTTCACCAGCATGGGCAACATCCCCAGCATCACTTGCATCATCCGCACCCTTGGCAGGCGCTGATGCGGATGATGCAGGTGATGCTGGCGATGTGCCGCTGGAGCTGCTAAGGATGCGAAAGCGGACCCGGGGGGAATCGAACACCCCAATGTGTTTAACAAACTGAGTTGCGCAAGCCCGCACAATGAACAGATTTAGTGAAGCGTCTTCGAATCACATAGTCTGAAATGGTGCCCCTGGGGAGGGGTAAGAGGGGTAACAGGTAAAGAGGTAAGGAGCGTTTCTTATGTCCAACACGCCGTCTGTTGTCGGCGGATTTGTGTTTGTGCTTGTGTTATTACTTGTGTTTGTATCTGTGCTTGTGTTCGTGTTTGTGTTTGTATTTGTGTTTGCATTTGTGTTTGTAATTGTGTTTGTGTTCGTGTTTGTGTTTGCTCTTGTGTTTGTAGTTGTATTTGTGTTTGCGTTTGTGTTTGTATTTGTGTTTGTGTTTCCGTGTTTGTGTTTCCGTGTTTGTGCTTGTGTTTGCATTTGTGTTTGTATTGTGTTTGTGATTCTATTTGTGTTTGTGTTTGTATTTGCATTTGTTTTGTACTTAGACACTTGTGTTTGTGTTTCTTCTTGTGTTTGTATTTGTATTTGAGTTGTGTTTGTTTTCGTCTTTGTATTTGCGTTTGTGTTTGTTTTTGTGTTCGGTTATGCATTTGCGTTTGTGTTTGTGCTTGTGTTTGTATTTGTGTTTGTTTTTGTGTTTGTATTTGTGTTTGTGTCCGTGTTTGTATTTGTGTTGTGTTTGGTCTTGCGTTTGCACTTGTGTTTGTGTTTGTGTTTGTATTTGTGTTTGCGTTTGTGTTTGTATTTGCATTTGTGCTTGTGTTTGTACCTTTTTTGCATCTGTATCTGTATTAGCATTTATGTTTGTAGTTGCATTCGTGTGTTTTGTTTGTATTTGTATTTGTGCTTGTGTGTGTTTTTATTTGTCTTTGCATTTGTGTTTTTGCTTGCGTTTGTACTTGTATTTGTGTTTGTGCTTGTGTTTGTATTTGCACTTGTATTTGCATTTGTGTTTGTACGTGTACTTGTATTTTACATCTACTTGTACTTGTTTTTGTATTTGCATTCGTGTTTTTTGTTTGTATTTGTGTTTGTATTTGTACTTGTGCTTGCATGTGTCCTTGTGTGTTTTTGTATTTGTATTTGTATTTTGCATTTGTGATCAGGTTGGTATGTGTCTTTGTGTTCGTGCTTGCACGTTTATATCTTTTGTATTTGTGTTTGTGTTTGTACTTGTTCTTGTGTTTGTATTTGTGTTTGCGTTGTGCTTGTGTTTGTATTTGAACCTGTATTTGCGTTTGTATTTGTACTTGTATTTGTGTTTCTGATGTATTTGCACTTGAGTGGCGATCCGGGGATCGGGATTCGGGATTTGCCAAGCCCCAATCTCACTCCCAATTTCGGGATTCGGGATTCGGGGTTCGGGACTCGCGAATCCCAAATCTCAATCCCAATTTCGGAACTCGGTGTTCGGGATACGGGATTCGCAAATCCCAAGTATCAATCCCAATTTCGGGATTCCGGATTCGGGATTTGGGACTCGCGAATCCCAAACCCCAATCCCAATTTCGGGATTCGGGATTCGGGATTTGGATTCGCGAATCCCAAATCCACATCTCAATTTTGGGATTCGGGATTCGGGATTTGAGATTCGCGTTTTTTAAATTTTCATTTTCTATTTTGGGATTCGGGGTTCGGGATTCGCGAATCCCAAATCCACACCCCAATTTCGGGATTCGGGATTCGAGATGCGAGATTCGCAAAATCCTAAATCCCAATCCCTATTTTGGGATTTGGGATTCCGGATTCGGGCTTCGCGAATCCCAAATCCCAAGTCCTATTTCGGGGTTCGAGATTCGGGACTCGCGAATCCCAAACCCACATCCCAATTTCGGGATTCGGGATTTGCGAACGCCAAATCCCACTTCGGGATGCGTTGATGCGGGGTTTGGGATTCGAGATTTGGGAATTGTACAGTACATTCTGGAGAAGCTTCTCCGGATGACGTCTCTTGTAAGTACTTGTATTGTGTTTGTGTTTCTGTTTGTTTGTGTTTGCTTTTGTGTTTGTACTTGCGTTTGTGTTTGTATTTGAATTTGTGCTTGCGATTGTGTTTGTGTCTGTATTTGTGTTTGTATTTGTGTTTGTGCTTGTGTTTGTACTTGTATTTGTGTTTGTGCTTTAATTTGTATGTGTGTAAGTTTGTGTTTGTATTTGTACTTTAGCTCGAGTTTGTATTTGCACTTGTGTTTGTATTTGTGTTGTGTTTGTGTTTGTATTTGTTTTTGTGTTTGTGTTTGCGTTTGTATTTGTACTTGTTTGTATTTGTACTTGTTTGTGTTTGTCTTTGCATTTGTGATTGTATTTGTGATTGTGTTTGTATTTGTACTTGTGTTTGTACTGGTACTTGTGTTTTTGTTTTCTTTGTATTTGGATTTGTGTTTGTGTTTGTATTTGTGTTTGCGTTTGTAGTTGTATTTGTGTTGTGTTTGTATGTGTATTTGTACTTGTGTTTGTATTTGTATTTGCGTTTGTACTTTTACTTGTTTGTGTTTGTATTTTGTTCTTTTACTTGTGATTGTATTTGTGCTTGTTCGTGTTTGTATTCGTACTTGTGTTTGAGTTTGTGTTTGTAGTTGTACTTTTATTTGTAGTTGTGTTTGTGTTTGAAATTGTATTTGTACCAGTGTTCTTTTTTTGTACTTGTGTTGGTGTTGATGTTTGTATTTGTGTTTGTGTTTGTACTTGCTCTTCTGCTTGTGTTTGTATTTTGTGTTTGCGTTGTATGTGCACTTGTATTTGCGTTTGCGTTTGCATTTGTACTTGTATTTGTATTCGTGTTTGTATTCTTTTGTATGTGTATTAGTTTGTGTTTGTATTTGTACGTGTGTTTGTGTTAGTGTTTGGGTTTGTACTTGTACTTGTGTTTGTGTTCGTATTTGTACTTTCACTTTTTTTTGGTATTTGTTCTCGTGTTTGTGTTTTGTATTTGCACTTGTGATTATATTTGTACCTTTGCTTGTGTTTGTACTTGTGTTTGTATTTGGATTTGTCCTTGTGGTTGAGTTTGTATTTGTACTTGTGTTTGTGTTTGTTGTTGTACTCGTGTTTGTGTTCGTGTTTGTACTTGCACTTGTGTTTGTACCTGTACTTGTGTTTGAGTTTGTATTTGTCCTCGTGTTTGTATTTGTACTTGTGATTGTGTTTGTGTTTGTATTTGCATTTGTGTTTGTAATTGTGTTTGTGATTGTATGCGTGTTTGTGTGTTTGTATTTCTGTATGTGTTTGTATTTGGGCTTGTGTCTGTATTTGTACTTGTATTTGCATTTGTGTTTGTTGTTTGTACTCGTGTTTGTGTTTGTACTTGCAGTTGTGTTTGTGTTTGTACTTGTGTTTGTCTTTGTATTTGTGCTTGTGGTTGTGTTTGTATTTGTACTTGTGTTTGCGTTTGTAGTTGTATTTGTGTTTGCGTTTCTGCTTGTTTTTGTACTTGTACTTGTGTTTGTACCTACTTGTGTTTGTGTTTCTGTTTGTATTTGTGTTTGTGTTTGTATTTGGACTTGTGCTTGTGTTTGTATTTGCATTTGTGTTTGTGATTGTATTTGTTCTTGCGTTCGTGTTTGCACGTGTATTTGTAATGGCATCTGTTTTTGGATTTGCAATTGTATTTGTGTGTGTGTGCTTTTCCTGAAAGCTACCTTCTTGGGGCGGTTATCAGTTTTTTTCTTTGTGTTTTGGAGGCTCCCTTTTCAGGGCGTTTGATTTGCATTTGTTTGTTTGGACCGCTACCCTTTTCAGGGGCGGTTGTCATATGTGTCGTGCTTCTTTTGAGGCTACCCGGTTTGGGGCGGTTCTCAGATTTTTGTTGGGACGATTTTCGGATATGGCTGTGCTGTTTGGAGGCTAAACCTTTTTGTGCGGTTTGACTTTTTAATGTTTTTGGGTTTGAGGCTACCCGTTTCCGGGCTGTTTCTTTTTTGTTTTTGTGTGCTTTTGGTTTTGCAGGCTACCCTTTTTGGTGTCCTTGTTTGGGCTACCCTTTTTGGTGTCCTTGTTTGAGGTGCCGGTGCCTGTACCACGCCCTTTTTAGCATTGTCTGACGCCTATATGCGCTTCCTCTGGAAACTCTTGGGTTCAATGTTGACAGGCGCAGGCATTTTGCACCGCCAGCGTACGCTGGTCCCACAAATGATCTCACCGAAGGTCCCGCAACTCATAAGAAACCACGCTCAAGTCAATATCTTCGCAACCACGCCGGCTGCACAGTTGACGAGAACCCACTCAAGCAAATATTCATGCAACCCTGAGCAGGTCACCATGATAAGAAGCCACGCTCAGAGCTCAACAGCTGGACAGGCTGTGGAGCAACTGCAAGTGTAGTGAAGAAGCGCAGGCTGCTTCAACTGCTTGGTCAGCTGAGGCAAGGAGTTCTGAGTGAATTTGTGTGTTCTGGAAAATCGCTATTTCGCCTAGGCCCTAGGCAAAACACTGGCCAACTCACCGTCGTGGAGATTGTGTTTGTTGTTTGGGCCGGTTTTTAGACTTTCGGTGTTCTTGCTATTTGAGGCTTTTTCTTGTTTGTTGGTGTTTTTATTTGAGGCCAGCCTCTTTGGGGCGGTTTTCAGAATTTGTGTTTTTCGTTGAGGCTGCAATGTTTGGGCCGGTTGCTAGATTGTTGTTTTGGTTTGAGGCTACTTTTTCTTTGTCACTATTGTTTGAGGCTGCACATTTTGGTTTGTTTTGGATTTGTGGTGCTTCTTGTTGGTGGTTTGCATTTTGGTGCTTTTGTTTGAGACTATTCTTTGTTGTTGGTTTAGTGCGAGCTGAACTGAACTGTTGAAAATTGTTCAAATCAACCTGCCTTCCCAGGGAGGACGAGAAGGAAGAGAAGAAGGAGGAGAAGAAGGAGAAGACGGAGGAGAAGACGGAAGAGAAGGATGCGGGTGACGCTTGAGGCTTCCTGGCAGCATTTGCCACAAGTTCCCTGCCCCCGGTGCTTCGGAGTTTTTTTGCTACCGGCTCAGGGTGAATGCTTTGACTTGCAGCGTTTCCATCCCGGCGGTTCCGACTTTGGGTGCAGAACCTAAAGTTCTGGATCTCCGTTTGGATGGTTTGATGGAAAAGACGCAAGGACATCGGCCATTGTGCGAGCGCCATTAGGACTTCTGCCCCCCTCTGTCGCTCACCCGTCCACCTTTCCGCCCAACCTACCCATTCAAAACACCAGTGTGCTTGCTCAGCCACCCAACCATCCGTTCATCCATTTCTTGGATCCGGGACAGTCACGGGCATACACCGCAGATTTGGGAAGACCGTAGACCCCTTAGTACCATTAGTTCCAGGTTTTGATTCAGACTCACGTGAACACTTCACCGACAATTTGAGCCATATTCAGCTGGACCTGGTGGCTCTTAACTGTACCTGTGTGCCATATTTTTGTA